AGCGGGAGAAAGTAGAAACCTCACAAAGTTTGAGAAGGTAAAAGAGAAGTACGGGTAAAAGTACGGGTAAAAAACCAGGTCAGATTTTGTCTGTCTGTAGATGGCGAAATGGAAAAGGCATCCATGTCAAAAATGCGCACATCAGAGACCCTGCGGAAGGAAACAAGGCATAGCAGAAGGCATAGCAGAAGAGTACGTTTCGCTGACAGTTGTCGAAGGGAAAGATCCTCATTATTTGGCCAATTCCGCAGGAAGCAAAGTACCAGATTCACGTCCCAGAGTTGTGCATAGTATTTAGGCATATTTAGGTGCTGGAGGGCGAGATAATTTAATGCCCCATAGAAGCCTGCAGACCAAGGGATCCTGTCCTATAGGTGATCCCTGTATCGGGACATGAGCTTCCGAAATAGTTGAGCAAACCACATTGATGGACCAATAGGATCTCCCTAACTTAAAAAGATGCGAAAAAAATATTTAAGACTCCAGAAACAGGAGCTGTAAGGGAATCAGTGTCCTGTTCCAGGCACCAACTGTACCAAGAGTTCCAGGCTGATAAGTAACATTGTCTAGTCCCTGGAGCCTGTGAGTCCCAGAGTAGGTCCCTAGCCATCTGCAAGAGACTGCTCACATTCCAGGATCCCCGGAAAGAATCCAAGCCACTAGGCAGAGAGTCTTCCAATACCAGCGCATGTGGTTGGCCTTTTTCAAATCCAGTAGAAGGACCGGTATTGATAGGAGCCGAAAGGAATCCTGCCAAGTAAGGCCCAGCAGGTCTGGGAACCAGGCCTGGCTATGCCAGAGTGGTTTTATCAACACCAGGGTAATTTGTTGCCTACAGATCTGTAAGCACTCTGGAAATCATAGCAAATGAAGGGAAGGCGTAGGCGCCCTGTGAAGGCCACTCTTTAAGGAAGGCGTCCACGGCCAAGCACTTGGGATTGGGTAGCCAGCTGAAGAAACTTGCCAATTAGTAATTCATCCAGGAGGCAAATAGATCCACCACAAATCTTCCTTTCAACTAGGCCTGTTGCGATGGAAAAGGGGAGGAGAAAGGAAGAGAAGAGAAGGAGAAGAAGGAAGAGAGAAGAATTTTTTTTTTTTACTTTATAGTTAATATGCTTTTATTGTAAAGCACAATTTTTTTTACAATGTCTTCACTTATATGGAACTAATTAGTTGTGCAATGTATAACTTACAAATTTTTCAATATAATTAATAATTGTTTCCACTTATATGGTATTAATTATGTATAATAGAAATAATTGACTTTTTTTTTTTTTTAAATGACTCACTAGGAAATTAAAAGCACATAAATATGTGAAGTAAGGAGCTAAAAGCAAACACGTTTAAGCATTAACATTAATGAGATTCAAATTCAATAAGGTGTTTAAAGGTAAATTATTCACATATATTAGTAAGGTTTTTAACCTATTCATTAATAATAGATAAAAAGAATAAATACACTTGTAACTAAAACACCATAGGAAATAATAATAGAAATTGTTTATAAATAGATCACTAGTAGCTATGCTAAGAAGAAATAGATTCACTCAAATTAAAGAATTAAAGGGAAATGAGGTTAAGGATAAAAGTAGAAAAACTAAATGGGTGTTTTTTGTTTTTTTTTTCTTTCTTCTTTTCTCCTCCCTCTTGGGGTAAAATAGTAAAAATTGTAAATATTATTACCTCTTTTTGGACATACCCACTTAGTGTCTAATTTAAAGACACAGTAAAGACTGAATTTCTAAATGAAAATTTCCAGTCAATGTGCTAAAAAAGGAGGATTTCCTCCAATGATTTTAAATTTATGTTTTGTGTGTTTGTATGTATATGTTTTTGCAGCAGTAGGGAAGGATAATGATTATCGAGTGGAAAAGGATGTAGAGAGGTTTATGAAAATAACATGATAAAAATGCTTACACTCAATGTTCAGGGAATGAATACTATAGCAAAAAGATTTACTGTATAAATATCTCAGTGAAAAACAATTGAATTTAATATTTTTACAAGAAACCCATTGGAGGCAAGTGGATAAACAGAATTGGGGAGGTAAAAGATTTCCACTTATAATTCAAGCCTCTAATAAAGATTAAAAAAAATGCGGAGTAGCTGTAGTATTTGGAGAAAAGATCAAAGTTGAAATTATTCACCAGATACAAGATATTAAGGGCAGATATTTGATAATATGCAAAATTGACTCTATACTTTTCACATTATGTAATATATATCTCCCCAATTATTCACCAGTTGCCTATTCAAAAACAATTTTGGAAAAAGTGGAAGAAATTAAAGTGGGAAAGCTAATATTAGCAGGGGATTTTAATGCTGTGTTGGATCCGCAGATCGATAAAAAATTAATGAAAGGAAACAAATTAAATCAAATGGTGATAAAACAAGCAAAAGCCTTAAAAAAAATTAAAGATGAATATAATTTATTTGATATTTGGAGAATTTACAATCCCAATGAGAGAGATTATACGCATTTCTCTAAAGTTCATTTTTCCTATTCAAGACTGGATATGATTTGGGTAGATCCAAGCATTATTGATATGGCCAAAAAAACAAAGATTGATGAAATAGTTTGGACAGATCATAATGGAGTCTCCTGTGAAATAGCCTTTTGTACATTTAAAAGAGAAACCTATACTTGGCGGTTAAGAGATAATTTGCTTTGCTGTGAATCAAAAAAAACTTACATAGAAAACAATATAAAAAATTACTTTAAAGAAAATATTTCAGAAAACATTGATCCATCTATTTTGTGGTGTGCCTTTAAAGCTGTTATAAGAGGTCACATTATTAAGCTACAAAGTCATCTTGATAAAAATATTACTTTGGCATATCTACATACAGAATTAAGAAATATGACTTATATTATCTCCATCTCCCGAAATTTATGGAAAAATATTAGAACTGAAAGAAAATATAAAGCAAAAATTAATAGATACGATAGCCAAAAATATGGATAGACTAAAACTTAAATATTATTCTAAAGGTAATCGAGCTGAAAAGATGCTGTCTCAAAAACTTAGAAAACAAAAAGGACAGAATAAAGTAGATAAAATAATACAAAATGCAAAAACAGCAACAACCCCTAGAGAGATTGGAAAATGTTTTAATGAATACTATGGCAATTTATATAATATATCTCAAATCAACACAGATGAGGATATTAAAAATTATTTAAAAACTATAAAGAAGTTTCAATTAACATCTATTGATAATGAACTTTTGAATAAACCTATAACTATGGAGGAGATTATGAAAGTCATAAATGATTTAGAAAGATCTAAAACACCAGGCCCTGATGGGTTTAGTAACTTATTTTATAAAACATTTAAAGATCTATTATGTCCATATTTGACCTCTGCTTTTAATACAGCTGCAAACAGAGGATCTCTACCAGCAGAGATGCTTCAAGCTAATATCTTGCCCATTCTAAAAAATGATAAAAATTCCACCGACATTAAAAATTACCGCCCAATATCTTTAATAGATGTAGACACTAAGTTATATGCCTCGGTCTTGGCTGCCAGAATAAAAAAACTTCTTCCATCAATTATCCACAAAGATCAAATAGGATATGTTCCAGGAAGAAATTCCTATACAAGTATAGGAAAAATTATTAACAACTTGGAAGATGCGAATAGAATTGATGTTCCAGTTCTGACTCTGTCGATTGATGCTGAAAAAGCATTCGACAGAGTCAGCTGGAAATATTTAGAAGCCGTTTTATCACACTATGAACTGGAAGGTTGGATCAAGAAAGCTATAATGGCCTTATATGTAAATCCAGTTGCACGGACTATTGGACCTAATATTGTTGCCCCATGGTTCCAACTTAGAAATGGTACTCGGCAGGGATGCCGCCTTTCACCATTACTTTACTTGCTGACTATTGAACCATTGGCTGAAAACATCAGAAACAATAAGGAGATTAATGGCTATAAAATAATGGATGAGGACCAAAAAATTAGTCTATATGCTGACGACATTCTAATTACTCTCACAAATCCTAAAAACTCTTTAGAACATATAATGCAAGAAATAGATCGATATAGTTTTATATCAAACTATAAGTTAAATACAAATAAATCCCTGATATTAGATATCAATCTCAATAAATAAACGCAACAAGAGATTAAAAACAGATATGATTTTATTTGGGTTAAGGAAAGTATGGATTATTTAGGAATTAAGATAGTTAGAGAGACAAACAAGATTATGGAAGTAAATTTCCTAACATTATTATTGGACCTCAACAAATGGTTAAAAGATCGTAGAAATTTAGAGATTACTTTTTGGGGACGAATAAACGTCATTAATTCATATGTCATACCAAAGTGGAACTACATGTTCCAAATGTTACCTCTCCATATTCCAATTCATTGGCTTCAATTAATACAAAGAAGTTTTACTCAATATATTTGGAAAGGTAAGAAGCCAAGACTAAAACAATCAATATTAGTGCAAAAATTACATAAAGGTGGACTTGCTTATCCATTTATAGTGAATAACTTTAAAGCAGCTACTATTCTACATATTTATAGAATGCAAATTAAAGAAAATAAAGATGAAGGATGGTATAAAATGGAAATGAAGGCAGGAGAAGTTCTAGCTTAGATTGCTTAATTTGGAATATAAATAAAACGCTAAAAAGAGTATCCTAATATTATTTTAACTCAATTATTGGAAAATTGGTCAAAAATTAAAAAAGCAATGAATATAGAAAAAAAAGTTCCAAGCTACTTAGAGTTAAATATTGTAGAAAATCAAGTGGAGGATTTAAATCTAAATAACTGGAAAAAATCAGGGATAATGACTTTAGATCATTTATTGATAGAAGGATCAATCAAAACTTTTGCTCAAATAACATGCGCATATAATCTTCCATCTAGAGAGGTGTTTAATTTTTTAAGACTTAAAAGTTATATGAACACACACCTTATAATACCAAAATTTAATTTGAGCAATCTGATTGATTTGTTATTTACCTCAAAAAAAATTAATAAACCACTCTCTAAAGCTCTGATATTAACTAAATCAATGGTCAAGGACATAAATCCTACTGCTATACAGACATGGAAACAAGACTTAAATATTGATATTAGTATGAAACAATGGGGTTCTTCAATGATGGATGTTAAGAAGAACATACACTCATTAAATTTATTAGAAACACACTTTAAAGTTTTAAATAGGTGGTACTTAGTACCAACTAAACTGAATAAAATATATCCTTTAACTAATCCTACCTGTTGGAGGTGTAACAGTATTAGAGGCAATTTTAGACATATTTGGTGGGACTGCCATAAATTAAAAAATCTGTGGTTGGAAATACAGCATTTCATATCCAACAATCTAAAACTCGAGTTGATAATTTCCCCAGAGGTAGTTTTGCTACACTTGAATTGGCCACATATGACGTACGACCTAAAAGTAATTCTTATACATCTTTTTTTAGCTGTTAAAATAGTAATTGCGAGATGGTGGAAAAAAGATTCAGAAGTCCCCTGGAAGAAAGTTAAAAACCAACTCGAGTTTCAGATTAAAATGGAGTTGATGCTAAGTAAACAAAAATTAAGCAATAAAGTATCTGTTTGGTCAAAATGTATTGAGATGATTGATGTAAGAAATAATGTTGATCAGTTAGAAGTAGACTAATTCCATGAACATTGTAAAAATTAGGAGATATATTTGAATGATATTACCACTCTACTAAGGAAATTTTTCTGGTACCTCTTTCTTCTCTCCTATTTTGCTGCTATATTGTCTTGTGTTGTATTGTAAATTTGTATGATATATGTATTTAAAATAAAGAAAAAAAAAAGTAAAAAAAAAAAAAATCTTCCTTTCAACTGAAGGCGCCAGTCACTGGTGTCCCTCCAATACCTGGAAACCAATCTGCCATCAGGTTAGTAGCCCCTGGAAGATATTCCGCTTGCAGTGTAATGTTGCAAAGGAAACAAAAATCGTAGATCTCCATTGTCACTTCCGACATCAAGAGGATGCAACAATCCGACAGGTGGCTGGCCAGACTGCGGATCAACCTGATAAGTGCACGAACACCTGTTTGTTTAGAGCCTATATCTTAAAAGGCTCTAATAAATGTGAGTTGGAATTTCAATAGTTATTATAGACAATAAGGCCTTACAATACTACTCTATGTATGTTCCCTTTGTTTTTCACTTCCATGTTTATGCTGTCTCTTCATATCATATTGAAGGGTAAGTGAATATTCATTACATAGCACTCTTACTTGAGAGTTTAGGTGGAGGGCCACATAACCTAAACACTGAGTTTCGTTTGTCTTTTTTTGATTCTAATATTTGTGGGATATTAGGAGTGCCCTTTAGAGTGTGTTACAGCAGCTAAATATTAACATATTTTGAAGCGCCTGAATATCACACTTTAAGTTTGTTATATATTGTATGTAAGGCCCAATCCCTGACAGAGGATGGGTTCAGGAATTAACTCTGTGTGAGCTCTTCATCAGCTAAAAGGAACATTTTAGCCAAGGGCCCCAGTATATCCAATAATTTATCCTGAGCCGTACATAGACTGTGCTCAATACCCATACGAGGGTCACATCCGGACCTGGCCAAATAAGTGTAGAACATGACATCAAAGTCAGTAGTCATTGCCACCTTATCGGGTAAGAATGGCCTAGGGCATTCTGCCCGTAGGCGCTTCTGGACTTCTCTGTCCAGTGGTTTCCGGATCTAGTAATGCATAAATTGCGTAAGGTGAAACTGAAACTGAACCCATGCAGTTAGGGGTAACCAAACTTACAGAAGCAGAGAGACAGTTTAGAAGAAACAAGGGCTTATGTCTATACTGTGGCAAAAATTTCATGCCCTGTACGCCCGGAAAACATGCGCATCTATGGACCGTTTGGGGACTGACCTTAGGTGTGATGTTTATGTCCCTTAAATTGACTAATTTTCCTGGTAAAACTGAACATCCAGTTTTACGAAACTACTATTCAATGTGAGGCTATGAGTGACTCTGGGGCAGCGGAAAATTTAATTGACAGGAAGTTCTCTGCTAAACACCTCTTGCCATTAAGGCAAAGAGACAGGCCTTTAGTGGTCAAAGACATTTATGGGAGACCTCTATCTCAGCTTCTCATCACCTATGAGACCTCTCCTATTACTGTCTTAGTAGGAATCTTTCACACTGAGGAAATGTTTTATCAGGTGATCTCTTCTCCTTCCTGTCCCATGATTCTCGGTTTTACATGTCTGGCTTTTTCTTTGTATCTAAGAAGGAAGGAGACCTATGCCCCTGCATTGATTATACAGGTTTAAATAAAATTACAATATAGAACGCTGTGGTGGAACCAACCTCGCCACTGGAGAAGACTGATTGCAAGCCTCCTGCCCTGTGACTATGGCCCCTTGTTTAACACTGTTCTTTTTCCCTGCAGAAAGGCTGGTTCGTGCCTTTCTGCAGACTGTTAAAGTCACGAAAACTGCTGAGCCCCCGACTTCCCTTCTCCTACCTGCAGTCAATTATCCGAACACCGGTCCATTAGGTACTTTACTGTTTAAACCATGCTACCCCAGATAGCTATGCCATGGAGCCCAGCTGTATACTGAAAGACTGTATGAAAGACTTTGGCTCCATGGTGATTGAACTGTATGTATGTGATCTGAGTTCCATCCGGGAGTAATCTAAGCTATCTGGCGATTACTCCCAATTATCTCCAGGACAGAGAGGAGGGATTGTGATGCATTGTGGGATTGTAAGCTTGTGATTATGGAAGAACGGTGCCTTGTCTGATCAATCCCATATTATTTTAGACCAGGTGGATTGCCGGGTGCATCATTTATCTGGGGAAGTGATGGCAGCATGATGCACTGCAGGAAGAATCAATACCGGTAAAAGGCATTCATGTGGACGTTACTTTGACAAATATCACCTACATAGGCAATGATATTCTCTGATGGCAGTTGCCTCTTTCAGCAGGCTAATGTACCCTGCCACATGCAAAATGTTCAGTAATAAATACAAAATGGGCTGTTGGGAGAGACAGAAACACATAAAAGGTGCTGGGGTAGAGACATGAAAAATGGGCTCTGGGGGGGAAAGAGAGGGGCTTGGGGCAGATACACACAAAGGGGTTGGGAAAGAGAAGAAAGAGGCATACAGAGGGGCTGTGGGGGAAGAGACAAACAAAGGTGAATGGTGGTTAAGGTGATAAGAGACACACAGAGGTGCTCAGGAAGAGACACAATAAAAAGGCCTGGGGAAGACACATGCAAAAGGGGCTCTGGGGTAAGAAAAAGACAAACAGAGGGGCTGGGGGGAAGAGACACAAACAGGTTCTGGGGAAGGGAAGAAAGAGACAAACAAGGGGCTGAGGAGGAGAAAGAGACAGACACAGAGATAATAGAAAAAGAGACACAAAGAGTACAACATACTCATATAGGGGGCATATAGACACACACAGGAGCTGGGGGAAGAGGTACAAACAAACAGGGGCAAGGGGAAGAGGTGCAAACACACAGTGGTTGGGGAATGGGAGAAAGAGACTCAGACCAGGGCTAGGGAAGGTGAGACAGAAACACCTACAGAGATGTTGGGAAGAGAAGAAACAGATGCAGAGAGACTGGGGAAGGGGAGAAAGAGATGAAAGATATTGCAGGGGAGAAAGAAACACACAAAGGTGCCAGGGAAAGAGGCTCACAGTGGGACTGGATTGGAGAAAGAGGCACACAAAGATGCTGTTGGGGAGTAAGTGTAACAGTACATACACGGTCCGCGTGCTGGCAGGGGTACTCTGATCAAGCGGCACGTGGCTCAAGCCCTCCTGCCTTTAGGTGAGCCGCGTGTGGCTCCAAAACTCTTAGCTCCTGGCGGGCCGTGTGCGCCAAGCAGTCTGATCGGCCGTGTGGCCCGTACAGTATTGGGAACGCTGCTCGCAATGTGAGCACGTTCTTAAATGGGAAATGGGAGTGTAACCTTGCGGTCAGCTTTCATTGGCCCACGTCATTCCGGCACCCCCATTCACGCACGTTTTGGGGCGTAGACATTTTGTGGACCAAATTAAAAATAAAAGCATTTAAACTTACCGCCCCTAGATTCTGTGCCCTATTGTGGTTTCTGTTCCCAGTATCCCTTTGTTCGTTCCTAGTATTATATTCTGGTATTAACCTTGGCTTTGTTTCCTGACTCTGAGTTTCTCTTTAACCATTGCCTGTCTTGTTTGCCCATCTGATTTTTACCATGTACTTGACTCTGGCTAGTTCTCGTTTTTGCTGTCTCTCCGTTACCCTGACCTCGGCTCGTATGTCTTATGCCCGGCCACTTTAAGGCCCGGTTAGAAGTTTATATTTCATTGGTCTGATCCTTGCTATCCTAAACCCTGCGTGTTAGGGTTAATACTTAAGACACCTACAAAAGGACTGAGGAGAAAGTGCAAAGAGACAGTTTAGAAGAAACAAGGGCTTATGTCTATACTGTGGCAAAAATTTCATGCCCTGTACGACCGGAAAACATGCGCATCTATGGACCGTTTGGGGACCGACCTTAGGTGTGATGTTTATGTCCCTTAAATTGACTAATTTTCCTGGTAAAACTGAACATCCAGTTTTACGAAACTACTATTCAATGTGAGGCTTACTAGGGAAGTAAGAGACACACAAAGGGGCTGTGCAAGAAAGATACACACAACGATGCTGGGGAAAGACACACAGAGGGGCTGGGTGGGAGGAAAAAAACACAAATATGCTGTGGGGGAGCAAGAGATACACAAAGAGGCTGTTGGAGAGTAGGAGACCCACTAAGGGGCTGAGGGGAGTAAGAGGTGAAGTGAGAGAGACAAAAGAGTGTGGGGGAAAGTAAGAGACACACAAACAAGCTTGAGGGTAAAGTAAGATACACACAAAGGGGCTGGTGGGTAAAGTAAGAGACATACAAAGGGGGGTTGTAAGATGGGGTGTAAAACACGCAGAGGGGAAAATTGGTGAAAAAGAAAAATGGGGTAAGAAATTTAAGAGGTGGGTAAAGGGACACAGGTGACAAAACATTATTGGGGGGAGGGGGCAAAATTATTTTTCACCTGTATAGCCAAAAATGCTTGCTCCATTCCTTTTGTAGCCCAAAACATATGGAGTGCTGCTGATTGCCTAATCCTGTACTAGACTGTGGAATTGAAAACATTTTAAGAAGTGCAAGAAATGGTCAAGAATGGCTAAATAAAATTCACCAAATC